TGATGGACTGGAGACATGTCCAGGGTGTCCCCTCGCACAGTGACAGCTGGATATGGGCACCAGTGACTCCCACGACACAAAAAAAGACAAGAAAATTCCTTCTTTACATGAATCTGGTGTTTTCTTTTGTCTTAAAGTGTAAAAATGCCAACAAATGCAAACAATCATTAGATATTTGTGGTTTTATAATGCCACCCCCTACTGGCAGGAAAACCCCCTCCAACAAACATGAAGTGACCCACGGGCCACCAGTTGATGATTACACTTGTAGCAGGTTTTGTGGCTCAGGGCACATTTAATTTAATGAGCATAAGGGCAAGAAGAGCTCTTTTGATTGTTGCAGACAGTCTTACATGTTCCAGCTGCTAGCAACTGCCCTCTAGTGGTGAAACCTGAGCATTACATCATGTTTGACCATACTTCATCTAGAAATGCTTCTAATAACACAGTAAATATACTTTAAAACAACCTAAACCTTGTCATAAATTACAACTTGAGGAAATGTATTAAAGCAAAGCAAAGTTTATCAAGTACATGCTACTTCTAAACTTGATACTGTGTGACCCAGAACACAGCAAAGGTCCAGTTTGAACACTTCGATTTGACTGTTGTTGCTTTAATTTATGCGTCACATAATTCGTAAATTATTACCAAACCCTCGTTCGAGTTTGGTAAAAATAAAATAATAAAATAATTACATTAGCTAATCACCATTTTAATGAAGAAAATAAATATAATCATTAATCTATTTCAACAAAAATCAGGTCCAAACGGTTTGAGGGGAAATATGGTGTTGCTAGTACAAACAGATAATTTGAGGTCATTCATGTGCGATGTCATTTGTGAGAAAGAACGGCTTCCTTTTAATGCGAGCAACGTGTTTCGCAACGACTGCTGACTTTTCACAAACATTAAAAAAGAGAACAAGAGACATCTAACAAGGTTAAGTCAGGTCCTCTGGACGGATTCTTCTTGTCGAAACGTTTCGTATTTTATCCAAAAGACTTCTTCAGTCTGAGGAGCTGCAACAAACTCAATCTATGAGCAGCACCTTCTCATAGTGGGTCAATCAGTTTGCTGGTGACAGCCAAAACTAGTTGTTCACATGCAAAAGGAGGACAATCAGTCTAACAATTGATCGTTAGTGCCCTTATGGTCGCTTGCTATTCACAGTGAGCTGAGTGATGCAATATCAACATTGTAAGAGAGGGACTATAGAGGCCTCCGCCTCTTTTACAAGCTCTCTTCACAAACATGTCTTCCTTCGCATCTCTCTCAAACCATTGTTCCTCTCTATCAAGGATGTGAACATCTTCATCCCTGAACGAGTGACGCTGGCCTGCAGATGAGTGTAGACCGCAGAGTCCTGGCCTGATGATGTTGCTCTCCTGTGCTAACAAGAGATAAGACAAGAAGGAAATGACATTCTTTTAAAAACTAACGATTACCGCCGAACATTCAGTCCGTTTCCACGCAGCGATCAGCCACTCGTCAGCAGACAGAGCAGGAGGTAAAGAAGTCGTATCATCTCATAAAAGCGAGGATTTCTCAGAACAAGAGCTGAGAATGTGCCTGATTTCTGCTGCCACGTCCAAAACGAGCCATAATTTATTAATCCTGCCAGAGCTGACAGCACTCTGGCATTTAATCAGCGACGCCCTGCTTTTTCCAACCACACACACACACAGTCAGTGAGCAGCTGGGGGTCAGAGGCCTGCAGCTTGATGACAATAATATCTGAATAACGACGCTCGCGCACTTTCTGCAGACAGATCTTTTTCCAAAAGCGCAGGAGGATGGGAGGGTCATGACTCAACTCGTGACCTCGTCTGCTCTGGAAGCCGTGATGTAACGAATGACATCTTCATTAGTCACAACAAAAAAGGAAAAGTCTGGCCTAAATATAGCAAACTTTGGGTTCCTAATTCTGTTGATATACATATCCTGGAAATACAAAATCCAATGTTGACAACGTTAGGATGTTGCGTCGAACCTAAATAAAATGATGGGCAACTCTCATAAACCCTGCATTTCATTCAAAAGAGATGATGACACTGAGAGATTGTGCCTGAGAAGCAGCTGAAGCAGCATTTAGCTACTAACCAGGTTAATTGGCAACAGGTCAGAAAGAGGATGAGAATAAAAACAACATTTTAGAGAGGATGGATCTCTTAGAAGTAAAGATGGGCAGAGGTTCACCAGTTTGTGAAAAAACTGTTTTAAAATAGTAGAATTTGAACATCCCATCATCTAAAGCAGAGGTTCTCAAACTGTTTGGGTTCAGGGACCCCTTCATAACCTCCGTGCTTATTCAATCATTCTCTTTAATTTGTCTCTTTAATGCAATGGAAATATTTGTTTAACAGAAATACTTAAAACCTGTTATTTAATAGGGTTAATACAATTGTATACTTTTAAACGAGGTATTTTTCATTCGAGGCACACTTCATTAACAACATTTTTCATTTCAATTTCCAAAAATGACAGTTTTGAGAAAAATAACAGAATCAAAAACCACTTTAATAAAACTTTACCTCTTCACTTAATAAACATAAAAGTATTACCACTTCTTCAAATTATTACAGAAAACTCTTTGCATAAAACAGATTCATAACAGCAGTAGTCAACGCAAACAGTGGGCAGGTGAGCAATTGCCGCGGGGTCTAGGGGTCGTCCTCCAGAAAATTTTAAATAAAGTATAATTTCCTGCATTTTGATGTATTTTAACGGGTTGTTAAACATCTACGAGCTTGTAAAAAATATATATTATTTATAATTTTTTGTAGACCCCCAAGCACCGACTCGCAGACCCTGGGGGTCCAGGGACCCCAGTTTGAGAACCTCTGATCAAGTCCGAATGAGGATGTTTGTGATTGTCGGGCCCTCGGGGGCCTCTACGGTACATGCGGGTCTGATTCTGTTCTGGACATCACTACACAGGTTCAGGAACACTTCTAATAATCATGGTCTGTAAACACTTTCACTGTGCCATCCATGAGTTCTGGTTAAAGCTCTATCAGGCAAAGAAGAAGCGAAACATAAACAGAACATTCGTCATCTCTCAAAGCTCATTTAAAACCAGACTGAGACAAATTAGCAAAAAGGTTCTGAGGCCAAATAAATCAAAACTTTTTTTTTTTTTTGGAAACCACAAGCAACATATGCTCCCATCCAGAAAAAAAAAGGAGGCAGGACAGTTGAACTGCTATAATCCTCCATCAGACAAAAATGAGCCAATGTTCTCCTCCACAACCCCCAACCACTGGTCTCCTCAGATGTTTCCAGACTGTCATTAAAAGAGCAGTAAACATGGATCTGCCTTAAACGTTTGAGACGAGTTGCTGCCATCAAATGAAAAAATACAACATTTCTTACAGTAAAACACAATTTTTTCGTTCGGCACGTTTACAGTGTTCCGCTGTGAATAATTTAAAGGCTCGTGAGAGCTGCCAGTCGCTGAATCCTGCTTTTACTGTAATTTCTGGACTACTGAGCGCACCTG